CTAATATATGGTCGCATACATGGTTTGGTAAGCTTATTTGAATATAACGTTGTTAACATGCATTAGCATCATAGATTCTCCAATCTAGTTTGTATTCTATTCCCACCAGGAAAAAACTGACAACAAAAATTGAAACGGATATTAGTAAAAAGTCATTTCCGCTTCCCAAGCGCCAATTGCAGACGGGACAGCTGATAGAAATTCCAATTTTACTGTTTGTGTCGACATTGCTACTCCTCTAGTCCATGCGCCTGAAAACAAGAGTTCTGTAAGAGTTCTGTTACATTCATTGTATGTAGGGGTACAACCACGTGAATGATGTATTTCATATTAAAATCGAAAATTACAAGTAGTGGCACAAAAGACGGCGCTAACGTAGATCTATTGACATGTGTACATTATATACTTCGCCTTCAATAAACAGCTTGGTTCTACTACATCAACTAAATGGTTGTGATGTTCTCTGGGGGAAATTGTGTCTTTTAAGAATGACATATAGGTGATGCTTTAACACGCGCCTGTTTAGAAAACAACGACTTATACCGTAACCACTACATGAGTTATTCTGTGTGAGAAAATTACATCAAAGTATAATCACAATCATACAATCAACAAAGAACTAACTAACTAACCCTAAGTGAGTTAAAGGCAATATGAGGTAATTTACTGTCGTTTTTCATTCAATGTCGCTGTGTTTTAACCAAAGACACAACACAGGAGCTTAGTTGATAAATTTTATGTGAAATGTCAAGACACAGAAAAATCCTGTGCCATTGATCTGTCACGCCCAAAAACTGAAATTGCCAATACTTAATTTTTAATACTCATGCAAGTCTAATATTCTTCTAAATTATTATTTTCCCATTAATAATTATTGAGACAGAGTTTTGTTAAGACGCGTGAGAGATTCTGCTAAACGCGAAATCTGCGACAACAGTTTTGTTGTCAGTCATTTAATTGGTGTCAGCCACAACGGTGACGTTAATTACTGTTGGCCACAACAGTCACAAGTTAGTCATATTATTTCATAGTGACATTATTTCAGTGACAACCATCAAAATGGCATTACAGGTATTTTGTTGTCAGTCACAACAGTGTCGTTAATTTGGTGTTAGTCATAACAGTGATTATAACGTTTACGTATTTGTATACGTTGAACAGAATATTTTGCTTTTTATATGTGTTCACACAAGAGCCTCGAATGAATGATTTACTACATTCAACATTACACTATGTTATTGTAATCTATCACACATTTCTGATCATATTGAGCACCATCGGTACCGTAAATTAGTTCAAGTGTGTGTTTACAAAGTGATATAGATGATGCAAAAACATAAACTTTCGGGCGCAATGAATGACTTGGGAATAAATGTTCATTATTTATCAATCCCAGAGTTCATGTTAGTTTCAGTTGCCGGTGTACATTTGGTGACAAATTTATAACAAATACTACACGATAGGTAGGCTAGTTATTATTTGGCACGTGTTTAAATATGTTATTGTTGATATCCCTCTACGGACACTGACTTACATACAATAACACATCAACATGGGATACTGTAATTCTATACCATAGGTTATCAAAACTTGCCCACTGGGCACTAAATCTAAATCTGTCTGCTCCATTTTTTGTCGACGCCGTTGTATGATTGTAATCGACGCAATAGATGCATCTCTAAGCCGACTGAAGTAAAACAATATATATACAGTTGTCGATCAATGGTCATAGTCCGTTGACAGGTGTATAACCACATTGCGGTAAAAAGCGAATGTTTTTCCGTATTTGACGAGTTGTCTAATACGTAATCATATCATTAAATATAAAACAACTAATGTATGATAATATATGTTGATATACTGAATTACGTGTTATTGTACACTAAGTGCGTAAGTGATCTTTCGAACTGCATGCTATTTGGATTAGTCACCAGCACACTTTTCAACGATTCCATACTATTCTCTGTCCCACTAAAACGGTTTTGTGTTCGAGTAAGCTATTGCCTGGGGAACTAACTGTGTATATTTAAAGAGAACATCTCTTATATATCCCGGAAGCGGTATTCAGAAAGTGGCTTAGAAATTGAATTCGTTGAACCCATGGAATTCTGAACCAATATCCACTGGCTGTCACTAAAATTTCATTGGGGAACATTTTAGAAAAATACACATTTCCCAACATATTTTACCTACTGTACCATACATGTCATATTGGCACATAACATTCATTTATGGCGTCAAGATTTGTTTGCTTTAGAATCCAAGTTTGATGTCATTTTACACTATCTCTGAAAATATATACGTTGCTATAGTTACATGTAGATACACAGGCTATGTCGACTAATCAAGTACAAACGTGACTATTGTCTTAGTTATCTCAGTTCACACTGCTTAGCTTTTATCTTCTAAATTTAATGATGGATGTGAATTCTATATGGATGTCGATAAATGTCGAAAACCATGCTATGGAACTTCATTTAATATTAAAGTCGTCAAACATTACTCGCACAAACGTGTTTTGAATTAGCAATCTTGTTGCGTCTTTCGTTGATATGCACACGCCGTTTATGACTTTAGTTAATATACAGATACATCGCTTCGTTCTTTGAATGCTTCCCAACGTTGTCAACTTCCCAACAACTAGTGTAGTGATGATTAAATGTATTATAGAATAGATATTCATTGGACGAGGCTGTATGGACGTGCACTACTAGTAACAGAACAGAATTGGAGGTATTATCTGTGATGCAACCCACACGAGTTGCTGGTAATTACAGATAGATACTGTTCATTATTCTAAATTACAGTGAATTATTGTTATCTCGAAGTTATTTCAATCGGAGAAAATAAGCCTTAATTTCAAACTTTTGTTGTAAAATGTGTTTTGCAATGATGCAAACATATCTAAAGAAATAACGTCATCGTAATACGTCATTTAAATTCCCATTCAAATATGGTATCATTGTCTGGCAACAAACGGTATAAACACGATTATTATTTCTGTCTGGTTTATGTTTTGGAAAAGATTACCGTATGGTGAACGAACAGTAATGAAAACGTAATTCAAGTGAGAGTGTATTATGTGTCAGATTTATAGATTACGATCAGCAGACACACAGACTAATACACTTAAATCTCCCGACTGTATATCATATATATATTCACGTGTGAGTGTGTGCAAATCTGTATAATTAACGACTGTGACGCAATCACGGAGAAGTCGTGCAATGAAGTTAAATACCGTATTTATGTTTCTTGAGATTACCATTGCAGCACTGCCCTGATTATACTGGGTACTCGTCTCGGGATTTTAAGAGAATATTGCATGAAACAATTGCATTGTGGGACACTGTTTAAGCCCGTCTACTCCATTATGCATCACGTGATTACAAACAGTATTTTTTATCCAGCGTCGAAATGCTTTTATAATGATACTTAGTGTGATCGAGACAGTGCTAAACCAAACTGTCAGTTCTTAATATAAAAAGCATAAATTTTGCAAGCGTAGATTAAAATTGCTCTTTGAAATTGGATTGCTTTTAGCAGAAATGCGAATGACTTCGAGATGTAATTGAAGAGGCAAACCTTATAAAAGTTTCAACGTAGAAGCTTGTGTGTTTTTATATTTCATTTAATGTTCATCTCCGTAGTACATTTCCGAAAATTGAATCTAACCAACGACTGAATGCACACTTTCATTTCGAATATTACTATGTATCTCTATAATTCTTATTCGATTGTCCACCAACAAATATGTAAAAAAAAAATGATAAGATGTAATAGCCCGTCAATGAGAAACATAATTGCCAGTTCCTTTCTTTTTTATCCGAAACAATTCTATTACCAGTAAGATATTCAATTATACAAATGTATTGCAAACTGATAAACAGTGTGCATTGTAAGAATGTTTAGTTTCTACTACAATAATTGAATTAGTTTGATACCATAGAGCCAATGTTTACCTTTAGATAATGTCATAGACATATAGAGACAACATAGTTTACTTATATTCATTCGCAGTAGCCATGGGAACATCCTATAATAATCGAAATCAGATTGTTCTGATATCAAAAAAAAAAATCATACTCGAAATTCTCACCAGGGTGCAGTGTGAATACTGTATGAGCTAGAATTGCATGATGTTTAGCCTTCAGCAAATTTATAATAACGATGTCTGGCACATATTGGAATATTGACACACAGCTTCGGGGGATGACGTGTAATTTAATATTCAGGAATGCATTCACAGTTAGTTGTTTAAAGATGAACAAGTAGAATGGTCAAATTCCGAGTTTGTTACCACGTGGTTTTAACTACAGTTGTAGAGAATGAGTAATAAATACACGAGAAATTTGATGAATGTATGAAAACAAATATTTGTGACGTAGCGTGACGAGTGGGTTATGGAAATCACTGCAATATCGCTGGACAATTGTGTGCTCACTGTAGTTATGGGAAAGCGCTAAGCACTGCTATTCTGGTACAGGGTTATGACATTTCTGAAGTACCAACGGAGATTTATAGGTCACTGCAGTTCAGGTCTAGGGTTATTATATTTTCGTGTATCGTTCTGTCCCAGGGCTATAAGATACAATTAACATAGGATGGAGTGTGTGGTCACTGCAGTTCTGGGCTAGGTTTATTAGATCCCTGCAGTACCAACATAGGAGAGTGTGATCACTGCAGTTCGGGTCTAGAGTTATTTTAGATCCCTGCAGTGCCAACATAGGAGAATGTGATCACTTCAGTTCTGGACTAGGGTTATGAGATCTCTGCAGTACCGACATTGGAGAGTGTAATCACTTCAGTTCTGTTCTGGGGTTATGAGATCCCTGCAGTACCAACATAGGAGAGTGTGACCACTGCAGTTCTGGTCTAAGGTAATTATAATCCTTTAGCAATAACTTAGGAGTGTGTGATCACTGCAGTTGTGGTCTAGGGTTATTAGAATCTTGCAGTACAAACTTAGGAGTGTGTGATCACTTCAGTTCTGGATTAGGATGATTAGATTCTGCAGCACCAACATAGGAGTGTGTGATCACTGCAGTTCTGGCCTAGGATTATTAGATCCCCCCAGCACCAACATAAGAGAGTGTGATCACTGCAGTTCTGGCCTAGGGTTATTAGATCCATCCAGCACCAACATAAGAGAGTGTGATCACTGCAGTTCTGGTCAGGGGTTATTAGATCCATCCAGTACAAACATAGGAGAGTGTGACCACTTCAGTTCTGTTCTAGGGTTATTAGAACCTTGCAGTACCAACTTAGGAGTGTATGATCACTTCAGTTCTGGCCTAGGATTATTAGATCCCTCCAGCACCAACACAAGAGAGTGTGATCACTGCAGTTCTGGCCTAGGGGTATTAGATCCATCCAGCACCAACATAAGAGAGTTTGATCACTGCAGTTCTGGTCAGGGGTTAATAGATCCATCCAGTACCAACATAGGAGAGTGTGGCCACTTCAGTTCTGATCTAGGGTTATTAAAACCCTGCAGCACCAACATAAGAAAGTGTGATCACTGCAGTTCTGGTCTAGGGTTATTAGATCCATCCAGCACCAACTTAGGAGTGTGTGATCACTTCAGTTCAGGTCTAGGGCTATTAGATTCCTGCAGCACCAACATAGGAGTGTATGATCACTTCAGTTCTGGTCTAGGGTTATTAGA